GCAATAATACTGTTCCAGCTTACATACAAATTCAACTTAAGGACAGACCTTGGGAATGGAACTTGTTCTTAAACTGGGGACCACCTGTATGTGTTACATTATGCTCTGAAATTTCATTAAAATGTCATGCTAAAGAACTAGTTTATTATTTTTTTTACATTTTTATATGTAATATATATTTTTATATTTTATATTTGTTTATTGTAAAGGGGACCTTCTGATTCACAGGTATCATTACAACTGGCAGCACCTTAGCAGAGTACCATTATTATGTCTCTGCTTATAGGATTTTGTATAGCAATGAAGGACAGAAGTGGACAATATACAGAGAACCTGGGGTTGAGAGAGATAAGGTGAGATTAAGATGAAATGTCACAAGAAATCATTGTACATTTTTAAAACGATAGTTTTAGAGCCTTCATTTAATATGCAGGTACTTTTCTTCATTGATCAAAGAGGGATCAAAATATGATATTTACTGGAAAATTAGAATTATTTGTAAATTCTGAAATTAAACATGTTTGTGTTTCATTAGAAACATAGGTCGTACTAACCCACTCAATCCTTGTGTTAAAGGTATTCATATAGAAAAATAAATAAAAAAGTTCTTTCTATTTCATGGAAATAGATTGGACTGAGGGAAGATTACCCATAGAAATCACACACTTGCAAGCCTAGACACACACGTAGTAAGGGAGGAATGGATGGATGGGATTCTAGAAAATTTTTGGAATTGGGTGATAAAGTATGTTAGTTAGAAGTATAGTAGTATTTAGGGTTGAACAAGTCCTTTTAAAAGAAGCAAACTGTCTGTGCATACATCACACATGGAACACCTTATGAAGCAGTTGCACAAGCTTGAAAAAAGATGCAGCTGGCTTAATGATAAAAAGACAGGCTCTGTGTATGTGCTCCATGAGATCTGAATCAACTCTTTTGAATAATTTATGCAGCCCTAGTAGGTTTCTTCATCTGTACCTTATTCTTGTTCTGTAAAGTGTTTTAGGGTGAAATCAGTGTTGGAGGTACAATCTTCCTTTCCCTCTACATTCTTTTACTGGCAAAGGCAGCCAGCATGGATTTTGCACATGAATATCCCTATTCCAGAAAACTTTTGCAGTGGATCACACTTTTGCCATAATTTTCATAGCTCTACAAAGCAATTATCTATTGACAAGAGTTGACAACTTATAGCCTTTGAGATGTTGCTTGATTCTAGCTCCCCATGTCTGTGACGTTGGCCATGCTAACTAAGGCTAATAAGAGTTGCAGATTATTATTGGCGGGGGGTGTCAAAAGTTGTCTAAACTTGCTTTACGAAAATGGTAGGTGTTTAATGAGTTATGTTGGAGATCTTAATTTCTGGCTTGGTAATAGCTCATGGAATATTGAATGCTGAATAAGGTCAGGAAAAAAATAACCAGATACAGAGGTTAATTCTAGTTTTTGACTGCCCTCTTCTGGGCTTGCTAGGTTAAAAAGAAATAAATGAAAAAAGGCAATATATTTAAACTTTGCTACATTAAACTTGATAATGGTAAGTAATCATTTTAACCTTCACAGTAATCATCTTTAAATGTGTCTGAAGCTTATGTAGGAATTTCTAATTCTATTCATCTAATAGTATGAGTTAGTTGAAGGATAGTAAAAACATAAAATCTGAGTTGAGCTTGATTCTTGGTGACTTCATGGACATGTCCGTACAGTTTTCTTGGCAACAGAATAGAAGTGGTTTGCAATTGCCGTTTTCTAGGATTTTTTAAAAATTTGCCATACAAAGCATTTCTGGATCTTCCCCCATTCAAGTATTAATCAGGTCTGATTCTAGATAAGATCACCTAAATAATGCTACCTACTATGGGTAGGTGAAGTATGTGACAATATTAGGCATGGCAGTTAATCTCTCTGTAGACATAGATGCATAGTCTCATAAGTTTAACAGCAGAAGATTCAAAAGCAGGGCTCAGATAAGTTGCTTTACTGGAGCTGTGAAAGCTGTTCTTAAATAATGAAGATCAGCTATGATAGAATCTAGCAATATTTATATGTCAGCTTGAGGTTTTAACCCTGTATCTCTTTCTTTGATAATTAACTTTTGGTTGCCTTTTTCTCAGCCTTGAATCTTGAGGGCATCTGCACAGTGTTTTAATAATAGTCCTGTCTGGTCTCTGTTTCTTTATTTCTGGTCTTGCCAGCTTTAGCCTGCACAGTATAAAAGCAAGCACATTAAACATTACTGATTTTTAATGATTCATTCATTGAATTTACATTAATGAATATTTCATCAGTGCTTTGAGAAATGAAAGCCTGTTATGAGAATAATTTGGAAAAGGCATAAGAGATAATCATAATTTTCTTTTGAATTTGAAAATAATGGAACACTTCAAGAAAGAAAATAGAACTATATGGCAAATGTCATATTATGTTTATTGTATGATCTAAATATTTTTAATTTTTTTCTAGGTATTTCAAGGCAACACAGGATATTATCAGGAAGTTCGCAATAATTTCATTCCACCCATTATTGCTCGCTTTGTTAGAATAAACCCTTTGAAATGGCATCAAAAAATTGCAATGAAAGTAGAATTGCTGGGATGTCAATTTAATATTGGTAAGTGAAATGGCATTTGATAAATTCCTTATAAAATGTGCCATTTTCCAATGGAGGAGGAGGACATTCTATGTGCATTGCTCCTGTCCTTCATTCAGTAGGTAGGATCGTGATTTTAACCCTCACAGGGAGGAAATAACCATAGCACAGTTCTGATCCATCCTGCCTAGCTGCAGTGTCCAGGTCTTTGCCTGAGCAGCTCTATTTGCCTTTGTCAGAGAATTTGTATGGCTAGAAAAAGAGTAGCTAGCCCATCCACATACACACTGAAGAATCTTTTTTTCTGATTTGGTTCAAATACTCAGCCCTAACCTAAGGACTGTGGAAGGAATAGGAAGAATTGCTTGTTGAGGTCAGTCTCCTCAGGAGTTTCTGACTCCATCCATAACTGCAAAATGGCAGTTGTATATGCAACTCCCTCAGCTGTAAGTGTATTTTCCTTCATATTTTTGGGAACCAGTTGGGGCAGAGCCTAGTCAGAATAAGTAGCTGTTCCTCAATTTGTTGTAGATAATGCGTTCCTTCTTCTGGAGTTTTGCAACTGAATCTGGAAAGTAATCCTGGATGGGCTTCCTCTTCTGCCCTCAGTCTCTGTGTTTCCTCAGATCCAGAGATCCCACTCTTTTTTTTTTCTATGGCAGAGAGGGTGACTGAACCTCTTTTATTGATAGAGAATAGCTTAAAAATTAGGAGTTTGATTTCTTCTCTTCTTTTTTGCTGGAATACTCTTTGCTTATCTATCAAAACTGGGTGGAAGCTGTTTATTCCCTAATGAGCATTAAACACTGATCCTATGTTTGAAGAGAGGGGAAGGAGCCTTTACGGTAAGTCCAGTGATCCATTATGGAACAGCAGATATACTCAAATACTTGTTCCATTTTCATTGGGAGGCTGATTGGTCCTGAATGTTTATATCTTAATGACATCATATATTATGAGCATAATACCATATGAGTTTTCTCAGGCATAGTGAGATTATTCTCATTCAGTTGCTAGCACTCTTAACAGATATTTTGAGAAAAAGTAAAATTATATAAAACAAAACTACTTGTTACTTTTTAAACTAATGACATCATCTCAAGATTTTGCTTTTATTTAAGTACGGGCTCCAAGACCATCATTACCTCCACCACCCAGGAGCAACAATGACTTTTCTTTGCAGATTGATAAAACAACCTTCACCCCTGAGGTCAAGAACACTATGTTAACCTCAAGTGTAACCAAAGGTACTGATATCTAAGAAATAGCATTGCAGCAATATAATGCCTAGCATTAATAGTGCCTTTTTGTGGCACACTTTATTTTTAACCCACAGAAATTAATTCATTAGAAATGATTAACTAAGATGTAGGCCTGTAGCCAATAGGACATGCAGATTTTGCATAAGAAATTGATAAGTTGCTAAATTAGAACTGTCAACTGTTTCACACACTGAGAAGTTCTTACCATTCATAATATATTCATGGCAGTCTAAGAAAGTATATCCAAATGCAATGAATGTTATAAGCATTTTACTGAATATTTGTGTAGATAAAATGGTTTTTTTTAACAAAACAAATAACTTATCTAAGATTTTGCTTTTGCTTTAAGTTCGGGCTCCAAAAGCAACATTACCTCCACCACCCAGGAACAGCAATGACTTTCCATTGCAGACTGGTAAAACAACCTTTGCTCCTAAGGTCAAGAATACTACAGTAACACCAAGTGTAACTAAAGGTACTGATACCTAAAAGATAGCACAGCAACATAATGCCTAGCATTAATAGCATATTTTTTTGGTACACTTGAATATTTACATAGATAAAAGGGGATTATCAACTTTGTTTTTAATGAGTTTATAAACCTTACATATTTTATATCTTAATGGTTTTCAGATGTAGCATTGATAGCTGTTCTAGTACCTGTGTTGGTCATGGTTTTTACCACCCTCATCTTGATCATAGTTTGCTCCTGGCACTGGAGAAACAGGTAACCAAATTATATAAGTGCTTCTAAAGAAGGACTGCACAAACTTTGTACAGCATGCAAAACTGTACTCTAAAACTATAGTGGACCAGAACCCAATTTTGGGAGGTTTGGTGAAATATGAGCTATAAGCTTCTACAATACCAACAAAAGTGGGGTGGTGGAAAGGTTTACTTTCACCTACTCTGGTAGAGGCTATGGTGCCTGTTAATTGGATGCTGGTGAACCATATCAGCAAGATTGTACTTTTTGTACTCCTGTTCTAGAGCAGACACCTCCAGACGGTCTTCATGATATATGGGGCTGCAGTTTTAAGAATTCCTAGGTACAGTAAGGTGGTTAACACATCTGAAGAGCTGTAGGCTCACAACAATGGAAGACTGCACAATGACTATGTAAAGATGAAATGTGAAAAATTCAAAAGATTCATTCAAAAAACCATGAATTCAAATAATCCTCTTCAATTAATAACAATCCTTTGATACATTATTTTTTCTTGAATAACATCAGTGAAGTATAACTTTCAGAAACACTTGGACTAGGCCTGGAGCCACCCAGGCTCAGGTCTACCCTTAGCTATGGAAGTTCAGGCTTATTATGATGATAAACTGCTAGGCATATTGCCTTCATCTCCTGTTGGAAAGGCAGGATGGAAATTTAGTGAGTGCATGAATGAATGGATGACTAATTTGTTACAGAAAACACACATTTAACAATGTATTTAGAGGTTGAATGACATCGTTTGATAAATAACATTACTGCTATCTATATTCATTAATAGTAAATATAGTACGTAAAGAAAAAAATCTTCCTCATGTTATATTATAGTCAAATATTTTTAAACCCTATTTTAAACAGTAATACTCTTAACTGTACCCTAAGTAACAGTCTTAAGTTAATACTAATCATAGATGTTTTTTTCATTTGATATAATTTTTAGAAAAAGAAAGTCAGAAGGAACATATGATGTGCCTTATTGGGATCGTGCAGGTAATTTTAGTTGCAAACCTTGTTGTAATGTTTTGAGATTCAGATGTGTTTCTGGTTATTTCAGTTAATATTTAGGATGTGTTTCTGGTTATTTCAGTTAATATTTAGGCACCTGACTACTTGACAAAAACATCTCAAATGGCACCCTTGATTCTCATCTCTTTCACTCCCCTAACATTGCTTCCCTTGTCGGGTAGGGTAGAATGAGGGACCGGGACAGGTATTTCCATGTAACCCAGGAGCTATCTGTTGCAGCCATGGGTCATGAGGCTTCAAGCATTTGTAGAGGGAGACTTTGAATCAGGCTGCTGAATTAGTATCCTGTTTGATCAGACATAGCTAGAAACAGTTGATTATTCAGTATCCTGACCAAAGGAGGGGTTTAAACTTTATTGTGGGCTGTTTTGTTTTCCTTTCCTTCAAATGTATAAGTGGGTTGGCTGACTAGCAATGTCCCTTGCTGGTATGTGCTGCCAGATGCTCCCTGAGCTACTTACCAATTAATACCAATTCTTGGATTATATTTATCTTTATTTATTCATAACTATTTTATATTTATTTTTAACTGATTTTAGCTTCTTTGTAAACCACCCAGAGTTATTTTTGGCAAGATGGATGGTGACAAATTTGATAGATAGATAGATAGATAGATAGATAGATAGATAGATAGATAGATAGATAGATGTCCCATTCAACAACTGTATGAAGGAGTTTGTGTGCACTATACATGAATATGGTTTTTCTGTCTGAGATGGTACCCAAATTATTTACTTGTTTGTTTTAAAAATGTTTATAGGCACCCATCTTAAATATATAACTCTGTGCAGCAAACAGTACATACAAAAGCAATATAAAAAATCCATAACCAATTAAAATAATCTAGTGTTCTTATATTGATTGAAAATTCAAGTACCTTGCCTTGAGTGAACACATTCAAGTTGAGTATTAGGCTTGACTCAAGTCTTAGTGCCTGCCTCAGAGAAACAGCAATGGGAAGAAGACCATGACACTACAGGTAGTCCTCACTTGCTGACTGCCTTGTTTAGTGACCATTCGAAGTTGCAATGGTGTAAAAAAAAGTTTTGCGATCAATTCTTGCATTTACAGCTGTTGCATCCTATGGGCACATGATTGCCATTCAGGCACTTTGCAGTCGGCACACATTTACGACTGTTGCAGTATCCTGCAGTCATGTGATCACCATTCATGTGCTTTGCAACCAGCTTGTGACAAGCAGAGTTAATAGAGAAGGTGGAAATAAAATCATAAATCGCAGTCATGTGATTTTTCTCTTAGCAACCACAGCACTCTGCTTAATGACCGAAGGGGAAGTAAGGTCGTAAACCTGTCACAGTCACGTGATTTTCTGCTTTGCAACCACAGCGCTTAAGCAACCAAGTTGCAGGTCTGAGTTGTGGCCACTTAAGCGAGGACTACCTGTATTCATTCACTTCTTTAATCACCCCAATCCCTCCTGTGCCTGCCCCCCCGCAGAATGGAGAGATTGGAGAGGAAGGGATTACAAGAGAGTAAGCAGGCACATAAGGAGAATACACATTGAAAGGAACGAAGTGGCACCAGCAGCCCCGAACATGCTCAGGGCTGGGAGCCACAAGCATGCTATGCAAACAGCCAGGGTATTCCTCATTGTGTGCCTGCTTAGTCTCTTGTAATCCCTTCCTTTCCAATAATCCCTTCCTTTCCAAGTGGGGGTGGGCAGGCACAGGAGAGAATGCCTACTGAAATCACTTGGTGTCCCCCCCCCACCAAGTGGAGAGATTGCTTAAATAAGTGGGGGGGAGGGGATTAAAAAAAAGCAATTTCTGTAGGCAATCTCTCCTGTACCTGATCTGTTCCCCCACCCCCAGAGTAGAGAGATTAGAAAGGAAGGGATTACAAGAGAGCAAGCAGGCACACAATGGGAAATACACTGTTTGCGTAGCACACTCACAGCTCCTGCCAGCGCCACTGCATTCCTTTCAATGTGTATTCCCCATTGTATGCCTACTTACTCTCTTGTAATTCCTTCCTCTCCAATGAATGTAAATACAAACATTAATTCCCTTCTTGCTAATTATTCCAAAACTGGGGTGAACATTGCAAAGGGTAGGGAAGTGGTTAGGAGGCAAACAAAAGTGGATGGTGTGAAACTGATTAGTCTTGTCAGTTCTGAGCTGGCTGTCACTGGGTGAACATTCCAAAGGGCAGGGGATGGGGAAAAGGAAAGCATAGTTGCAGTCACATGATTTCCCACTTAGCAACTGCTTTGCTTAATGACAGAGTTGCCGGTCTCAATTGTGGTCGCTAAACAAGGGCTACCTTATACAGTGTAACTTAATATGCAGACTTATATAAATAACCTGCAAAGCTTCCCTTATTTTACTTTGGATATGTTGTGCACCAAAATCATGAGTACACAGGGTTTAAACTACAGGGATACAACTGTAGGGACATTAGAAATTTGTAAGAAATATACATCCTGATATTTAATACATAAGATTCCAATGGCTACAGGGATAAATAATGTGATAGTATAATAACAGAGGTCTGAATAATAATACTCTGCTCATTTAAAATCAAGGTAGCTCAGAATAAGGGAGCATTGAATATTTGCTAAAGATGACTGAGCTGAACTATCACTCCCACCATAGATTTATTTGGGTAATATTGATAAAAAATCACTCATTTTCCAATTTGTAAGTTGTGTCTGTTACTTCTGCGTTGTGTGGATGAACAAAATATATTATTAGATGTACACATATTGGGAGACAGTTGGGAGACAGTTGGGAGAGATGTTAAGCATACTTTCAGAGGAAATTCCTGAACTATATTGCTGACAGCTTTTGCTTTCAGAGAATAGAGACAAAGAGGAAGCAGCAATTCTAGATTGGACCCTAACCAAAACGGAAGCTCTAGTAGACAAAGTGGATATAGTAGGAAGTTTGGGAGAAAGTGAATATGTAATGAGGAAATTATTCTTATAAAATGAAACTAAGCTGAGTTTAGGAGAGGAAAGGATTTGACTAAGCAGAGCAATGGTGAAGGAGGATTCCATAGCAGAAGAAATGAATTGAGAGGGAGCGTGTACTGAAGGATGCTAGGACCTTAAAAATATGTTCAGATATATTCAAAGAAAAGCTGCTAAGTGAACATGGCAAAATGTTAGTTAAGAAACAAAAGGTGGAACTGCTCTTTTGGCTCAAATCATGTCTGAGAAGAGATATGTCTTCCTTTTAAATAAGTTCAAATCACCAGGGCCAAATAGATTCAGTCGTAGGCTAATGAAGGTAATTGTTGATGTGGCCAAATCTCTGTCATCTTTGAGAAATTCTGAAGAAGGGATAAAATACCAGATGGTTCAACAAGAGGAAAAAGGTTTAAGGGGACAACAGGCAGTCTGATATTGGTACCTTGGAAAATTCTTTATCACTTCACAAAGCAATTGATTGTAAGCACTTTGAAAACAATCCAGTGATTATTCAAAGTCAGCATGGTTGTGTCAATAGCAAGTCATGTCAAAGTAATATTTCATTTATGATCAGATACATTCCTTGGGTTGTGAGAATGTTGTGGATATGTCTCGACTGCAGTGAAGCATTTGACCAAGTACCTATAACATTTTGTTGAGCAAACAAGTTAAGTAATTTGATGGCATGCCTATTAAGTGAAACTGCAGTCCACTTGAATACTTGAATAGGATTTGTTTACTGAATGTGGTGTTGGTTTCAATAGCCTAAATGATTCTGTGATTTATTTATTTATTAAGAAACTGTTTCAATAGGATTCATAGGATTTCTCTGAGTTGAACTTATTTGGATATCATTCTATTAATATTGTAATATATTTTAAGTTAATGCACATATTTATTTATTTGTTGCATTTGTACCCTGTTGCAATTTTGCAGGACACTTGGTAGTTTTACAGAAGCATATAAACTATTAAAACATACATGGGACACTTTAGAAATAATAAAAAAACCTAACATTTAAAAAAAAATCCAAAAACCAGCCATCACTTCTTGAATGCCCACTGGAAGAGCTCCATTTTCATCTGCTTCTGGAAGGGGTCAAGTTCAGATATAACCTGAGCTCTAATGGGAGACCATTCCAAAGGACTGGTGCTGCTACAGAAAAACAGCACCTTCAAGTCTTACTCCTACACATAGACCTCCTTAAAGTGGGGAACCACCAGTTGCTTCTTCTGGCAAGATTGAATTGATTGGGCTGATTCTAGTGGGTAAATACATCCCTGAGTGTACTGTGGTGCTAATCCATAAACTGCTTTATAAGTTAAAACCACTACTGTAAATTGTAGCTGGAAGCCTGTAGGAAGCCAATGCAGGCCTGTGGCAGAGGTGCAATGTGCTTCCACTGGTAAGAACCAGAAAGAGCCAGGTTGTGGCAATTGGGATTAACTGAAGTTTTCCATTTAGAGTGCTCCATTTAGAGTATGCCACAATAACCTGAGTAGTAACAAGGGCATAAGTAGCAAGGTCCTCTCACCCCAAGCAGGGCTGCAAATGGCACACAGCTGAAGCTGCACAAAGCCCCCCCTGGCCATAGCTTCCACCTCCTGTTCAGGCAGGAGCTGTAAGTCCAGGAGAACCCCCAAGTTATAAGCCTCCTTGTTCAGGTGTAATGTTTCTCCATCAAAGAAATAACTGGAGCTGTTTGTGAGCTTCAGTGGTCATCTTGCTAGGATTTAATTGCAGCATGTTCTCCCCATCCAGACCGTTACAACCTCCAGCATGGTCCAGGGTAGACTTGTAAAGCTGAGTATCTTCTTGCTGATAATACCAAACCCAGAATTGACAAATAACCTTCCTCAGCAGCTTCAGGTATATAAGCAGTAGTGGGTAAAGGAGTAATCCTTGTGGCATCCTCTGAAGGAGCAGCCACCAAGCCAGCCTCTCCTCACCACCCCTGGATATATTCCCCATCTCCCTTATTGCAAGCTCCCCGCTCATCCCACATGCACTTGGTGCCCTCTCAATTCCCTCCCTAAAACACAGTCTCCCCACCACATACCAGCCTGTAAATAAAATAATTTATAATCTGATGAATAATTCATGTTTACTCTGATACCAAATATACAATCTCTACTCAATGCATCCTAAATCCTAACATCCTCATTACTGTAATTCACTAAGGAGATGAAAGTAGGACTTGGAACCTCTTCACTGGTCCTGGGCACTACCTAGCTACTCCAGCCATACCTCTGGGCCACATTCTCATTGCAAGTCAGGGTGGCCTCACTGCCCCAACTCTTACCATAGGGACTGCTCAACTCCAGGTACAGGAAAACAAGAGAGCTTGTCAATTTTAAGGGATATTGAGTCATCTGAAACTAAGCTGCAATATATTTACATTGAACACACTGATACTCTGAAAATTTGAGTAAACTCTGGATGGTTTAAACCAGTGATTCTCAACCTTTTTGAAGCTGCTGCCCCCCTAAGGAGCGGAAAATTTTTCAAC